CCCACACATTGAGATCACAGGTGACAAATACCAATTAAGTGTCTAAAGTTCCCAAGTATGGAGATATCAATACGGCCTTCAATATGGATGTTCTCTCAACACTAAGAAAACATTACCGGGCCAATAGACAACATCCATGATAGCTAGAGAAAGGATTGAAATTGTCAATTATTTCAACACCTTTGGTTCAAGCAGTCAGGAGACATAATTGCACAGGGAGAGTATGCTGTCAAGGATCTCTCCAAAATACTTAAGAGCAATGACATCTGTTTGAAGAGTAAGGTGTGTCTAATTCAAGCCATGGTCTTTACAATCACTTGCTATGCACCTGAGAGCTGGACAACGAATATGGATGACAGAAGAAGAAATGATGCCTTTGAGTTGTGGTGCTGGAGAACACTACGTGTACAGTTTGAAAAACAGACAAATGTTTTGAAGACGGTGCCGGTAAAGCATTCCTTGAAGGCAAAGATAACAAAGATTCATCTCTCATACTTTGGGAATGTTGTTGTTGTTGTTGTTATGTGCCATCAAGTTGCTTTCAACCTATAGTAACCCTATGTACAACAGCCCTAAACCCTGCTCTATCCTATGCCAATTTTATTGTCTCTGACACACCTACTCCCATTACCCCAGTGACAGAATCAATTGATCTCATCGAGGGTCTTCCTCTCTTGGGCTGCCTCTCCACCCTCCCAAGCATGATGTCCCTCTCCAAGGACTGGTCCCTCCTTGCAAAATGTCCAAAGTATGTCAGATGAAGCTTCAGAATCTTTGCCTCCATGGAGCAGCCTGGCTTTCCCCTCTCCAGGACGAACTTGTTTGTTTTCCTAGCAGTCCGTGGTGAATTCAATACTTTTCTCCAGCACCAAAGCTCAATTAGGAGAGGCTATTCCTTAAATAGCGACATCATGCTTGGAAAGGTGGAGGGATCATTGAAAGAGGGGAAAAGCCTCACTAAGATGGATTGACACAATGACTGCAGCAATGAGCTCAAGGTGTCAGACAGGATGAGGATGGCACAAGATAGGATAGGGTTCATGTCTGCTTTCCATAGGGTCACTATTGGTTGTACTTGACAGCACCTAACAACAACAACAACAACAACAACAAAAACAACAACAACTTTATCTTGATGCCCCATATAACTTTCTCTAAATGGTATAGTGTAGACAAGATACAAACAGCTTCTACTTTCTATCAGGTCTATGAATTTTAGCATTTTATTATTAATATTCTTTATTAATTTGGTAAGACCTTTATTGCAAGATGAAGTTAATCTTCGGCCTCTGTATCTGTACAAACATTTTCGAGAAATTAAATAATATATTAAGAATTATCTAATTATATACCTAAGGAGGACTTGAAGCACTTGTTGCTGACAAAGACTGCAATGTTCAATATGGATTACATCTCAACACCAAGAAAACAAAAATTCTCTTATTGCCAGTGATTTGGAGCATTTCTTCATGTGTCTGTTTGCCATTCAAATATCTTCCTCTGTGAAAATTCTTTCCACGTCTTTTGCCCATTTTTTAATTGGGTTACAAGTCTTTTCCTTATGGGGGCCCAGGAGTATTCTGTAAACTTTTGTTATGAGACTCTTGTCTGAGATGGTATTACCAAATGTTTGTTTCCAGTCAGTAGCTTTTCTTTTCACACTGTTGGAAAAAATTTTTGATGCACACATGGATATAATCTTTAGAAGGCCCCATGCATCAATTTCATCCTCCTCAGACTGCGCATTTCTGGTTGTATTTGGCAGTCTCTTTATACCTTGGACTAAGCTTGATCCCAGTTTATCTCTGATGAATGTTATGGTTTGGGGCTTTACTCCCAGGTCTCTGATTCACCTTGAGTTGATTTTTGTGTATAGTGTGAGATGTGGATCCTGTTTCACTTTCTGCAGGTGGAAGTCCAGTTTTGACAGAACCATTTGAAGAGGTTATCATTTCCCCATTTAATAGTTTTTATTTCCTTGTCAAATATCAGTTGACTATAGATAGCTAGGTCTATTTCTAGGTTATCATTTCTGTTCCATTGGTCTATGTGTCATTGCACCCGTACCATGCTGTTTTGGTTACTACTGCTGCATAGTAGGCTTTGAGGCAAGGGTGTGCTATGCCTCCAACTTCGTTTTTTGTTTCTCAGAAATGTTTTGCTTATTTGGAGTCTCTTGCCTCTCCAAATAAATTTGATAATTTCCCTTTAAATCTCCTTGAAAATTGAATTTGGTATCGGGATCGGGATTTCATTAAACATGTCGATTGCTTTTGGTAGGATTGTCACTTCCACCATATTGAGTATTCCAATCCATGAACAGGGAACATTTCCCCACTTCTTTAGATGTTTCATTCTGTCTTGTAGAAATGCTCTGTAGTTTTCTTTGTATTGGTCTTTTGTACCTCTAGTTAGATTCACTCCCAAGTATCTCAATTTGTGGTTGGCTATTGTAAATGATATTGTTTTCTTGCTTTCCTTCTCTGAGTTCTCTTTGTTGCTGTTGAGGAATCCTATAGATTTTTTGATAAATGCTCAAATCACTGGCAATAAGAGAGATGCAAATAAAAATCACAGTGAGGTATCATCTCACCCCAATAACAGTGTCAAAGTTTAACAGGCCAGAAAGTAATAAATGTTGGAGAAGTTGTGTTGAGAAAGGAACTCTTATACAATGCTGGTGGGATTGTAAACTGGCACAACCATTCTGGAAGGCAGTTTGGTGCTGCCTCAAAAAGCTGAACATAGAAATTCCATATGAACCACCTCTTCCACTATTTGGGATATACCCTGAGAAAATGAGAACTGAGGCACAAACTGAAATTTGTACACCAATGTTAATAGCAGCATTATTCACCATTGCAAGAACACGGTAACAGCCCAAATGTCCAACCACACATGAATGGATTGAGAAATTATGGTACACAATGCAATACTATGCAGCACGCAGGAGTAATGACTTTGTAAATTATTACTCAACTTGGGAGGGACTGGAGAGCATTATGCAGAGTGAACTAACTCAGTCCCACAAGGATAAATATTGTATAAAACCATTATTGTAGAATGAGTATAAGGATCCGGGAGGAGTGGGAGAGGCTGGAAGCAGAGGGGTGTGGATGTGCAGGGGGTAGGGGCATTAATCACAGGGTTGTACAATTTGATGCATGGGGTGTTGAAGGAAATTGAAAGAATTTGTTTGAATTTATATTTGAATTTTGTAAATAAACTAGTAGAAAATATTTAAAAAACAAAAATAAAATAAGCAATTAGGTGTGATTCATACTTAAACAAACAAACAAACAAACAAAAACAAAAATCTCACCAGTGGACCAATATGTAACATCATGATAAATGGAAAAAAGGATTTAAAATGGTCATCGAATTCTTCTCCCTTGGGTCTACAATCAAAACACTTGGTTCTAGCAGTCAAGCGATCAGGAGATGTATTTATTGCATTGTGAAAATCTGCAATCAGGGACCTGTCCAAATTACTAAGAAGCAATGATGTCAGTTTCAAGACTAAGGCACCTGATTCAGGCCATGGACTTTTCAATCACTTGCTATGCATCTGTGAGCTGGACAATGAATAAGAATGACAGAAGAATTGGTGCCTTTGAACTGTAGTGTTGGAGAAGAGTACTGAATATCCCATTGACTGCTAAAAGAACAAAGAGATATGCCTTGGAGAAAGTGCAGCCAGAGAGTTGCAAAGACAAGTTCCTTGGATGCAAAGCTTCACCTCATGTATTTTGGGCATGTTACTAAGAGAGGCTGTTCCTTGGAGAGGGACATCATGCTCGGACAGGTGGTGGGTTGGCAAAAGAAAGGAAGATCATCAAGAGATGGCTTGACACAGTGACTGCTGCAATGGGCAGAAATATGTCAGAAATGATGAGAGTGGCACAGAATAGGACAGGTTTCAGATCTGTTACCTATAGCGTCTCTATGAGTCATACTCAACTTGATGGTTCCTAACTAAAGACAGCAACACCAATTCTATACCTGAAGAAAAACTTTCAAACTTGCAATTAAATACACTTTCGCCCTATTTACCTGTAAGAACAGTATTGGCTACAGATACATTTCTAATTGCTTTTTCCCCCAAGCCAAAAAACAAAGCTGAAACCCAAAAACCCACTGTCCCAAGCCCCAAAGCACAAGTAACATTTTCGTGGCACTGAGATGTTGGTCAGGTCTTTATTTTTTGCTTTTCAACGTTTTCAGTGGGCTAGGAGGGGAATTTGGGAACAGAGGATGCTACATACAGGTTCAATTGGCCTTGAATCTTTGTCGCTAAAAAACAGAAAGTGTATTGTTCCCAAATCTGGAAAACACACTGTTGTTTACTTCGGTTGGCATTAAAGGCATTGCAGTGCGGCTCTTTTTTTCTGAACTTTCTACACAGTTGACAGGGGCGGTCTCAGGTGTGGAGCTCCTAGCACCTGCTTGTTCACACTCAGGTTCAGAACAGTTCAGAAGCTAGCGTATTTGAGACCAGGTGGTTCAGGTTCCACATAATTCAGCTCAAGTGTCACTAACACTATGTCTAGCGCCGGTCACTGAGCTGTGCTTTGGGACTTGGGCGTCCACTTCGGACTTGCTTCACTCACCTCTCCCTGTTTTCTCAGTTTCCATTCCTCATCCGGCATGCCCACCTCCTCCCTTCTAATCTCCACTTTTTCCTGCGATCTCCGTCTACTGTCTAGATTCACTTAGCGTCTTCCATCCTCTGTGGGTCTTGGGACAGTGACTCAGAGGAGTCCCGAGTTGGGCGGGACAGGCGCTAGGCGCCCGGAGCGGGTGACAGGGGTGCGCGCTGCTGAGGCAGGGCGCGCGCACGCGCTGGAGAGCCTTGTGGCCGGGCCACAGGACCTGGGAGCGGTGCGCGCGCGCG